CTTGTACTTTGTACGTATTTAATTTGATCAGTACCTATACATGTGGTTTTTTCATATTATCACAAATAGTAGTGTTTTTCAAATTCTGTTTTAAATTCTTTTCTCTTTTGAGGCAAGATCTCATATAGACCAGACTGACTTTGAACTTATTATGTAGCCAAGAATGACCTTGAATTTCTGATCCTCCAGCCTCTACCTCCTGAGTGCTGAAATTACAGGCTTGCACCATAAAACCTAGCTTATGCCACACAGAGGAACAAATCCAGGGTTTCATGTGTGCCAGGCAAGCACTGTACCAACTGAGCTTCATGCCCAGTCCCTCATGATCTCTTTTCAATTGCTTTTTCTTAGAATATAGGAATAAAATTCATTTCACGTACTGATCTCAAAATCCAGCTTCTATTTGGCTGGGGATCATTTGCATACAAAGCTACCAAGCAGCTCAGGTGTAATCATAACATTCAGAAATTAGCATTGGTCAAATCCATAATCCATGTTCTCAGTTCACATATCTGTTCTGTTTGTAGATTCTTTGGGTTCTCCCATGTGCAGGGTATGGTCATTCATTTCTGTCTTAGGTGTGGGCATCTTGTTCCTCCACCTGCTTCCGCTCAGTGTTCCTCTATTTCTGTCGCTCGGTTACTGTTTGGGTCATTTGTTCATTGGTGTCCACTGTGTTAGATAAGCAAAACTTCAGCTGTGATTCACTGAAGTAACCGGACGTTTTCTTACCGTATCTAACTGCATCTGGAATGTTTTGATGTTATTGATAAAGGCTAAGTCTGAATGAGACAAGAATTTATTTCAAGCTAAAACTCCCTGTTTGTACAGACCCTCAAGCAGTCTCTTCTGGTGTGGGCTGGTGTGGCCTGGTGTGGGCTGGTGTGAGCTGGTGTGGGCTGGTGTGGGTGTTTTTCCTTCTGTCGTGCCTGTTGTGCCCCTTCCACAGTAGCTGAACATTGTCACAGGACCACCTGCTAACTCCTAGAAAGGTTCTTACTTCCTTTCCTCCACTCCTTTGTTTCCCCTTGAACTGAAATGCTGGCTATTTCCTCCACTGTGTTAATAAGTAGCAATCAAGTTTCCTAATTATTTCTTCAGTTACATAATTAATTATAGTCATTAAATGTCTATTTAGGTCAAAGGATTTGATTAATGGTAATATCTTAAGATACCGATTATAGCCAGGTCACTTGGTAGCACTGTATGCAAATGACCCTAAGCCAAGTAGAAGGAAATATTTTGTAACCCGTGTTATCAGAAAAACCCAGATAACATCACTTTTATAATAGACTTTGGCTCAGCTATGGTTTAAAAATTATTCTTGTGAGGAATTGCAAAAGGTATATAAACACACAAGGATGCCACCTTAGTGATTCCAGGATTACTCTGCCGGTCGGCTGGGGTTGCCATCCAGGACCGTACTTGTCTGTGCCCTGTGCAGGGCCAGTGTTGGATAAGCAACTTTTAATAGATCTGGTGAACGATGTCCGCCCAGAATCAGCTGAGTGCCCTTCATACATACAAAGGCGTCCTCTTCTCCTCCTTGTCTTCCGAAGAAGTCCTTAAATCCTTGGATTCCTTTGATGCCAGAGAAGACGATGTATTTCTGGTTTCCTACCCCAAGTCTGGTGAGTTTATCCTAAAATACACTTTTAGTGGCTGGAGAGATGGCTCAGTGGTTAAGAGCACTGACTGGTCTTGCAGAGGACCCGGGTTTGGATCCCAGCAACCATATGGTGGCTAACAACTGTCTATAACTCCAGTTCCAGGGGATCTGACACCCTCTTCTGACCTCCGTGGGCATTGCATGACACAGGTGCACATACACATATACAGGCAATACATTCATATAAATAAAATACACTTTTAAATGTAGACATGAAATAATAATAAATAAATAGTTATGAACATTTATCAGAAATTGTATTCTCTTATAAAAGTGATATTGAGAATTTAAAATTTTCGGCTTGAAAAAGACTCAGGAAAAATAATTAAGCCCTGAAAGATTTCAGGTGAAATAATTAAAGCTCTGCTAAAGTTTTCATTTCTATTTTAGCTATGAAGACACATAAATGTTGCTATGTATGTAACAAGCATTGTGTCTGTAATCTAAATTTCTCTTTGTACCTTGCACCAGTCATAGTGACAAGCAAATAATAGAACAAATGTTCAATTCATAATTAATATTGATTTATAATTTTTTCTTCTGTACTAATAAGAACCATAAATATTTTAATTGTTAAAATGTTTTTTAATTCAAATTTAATTCCTACATCGTCATATGCATACCAGTGTTGGTTACTATGAATAATATTCTGTAATTATCAAGGTTGGTTATATGTTACTTTATTTTTGAGAGGTGGTCAAGTTATGTGACATCCAGTTCCCTGCTATTTTCAGAACGGTGGTCATATGGAGATGGCATTCACCTGCTAACATGGCTTCAGCAACTAGCAGCTAAGCTTCTATTGAGTAGGATGTGTATTGTAGGCACCAATTAAACCTAAGAGGTTCTCAGTGTGAGAAGAGGCAAAGTTCACATAAGCTCAAATCAGGGCTTTTTGAGGCTATATATGTGCAATTTCAGAAAATATTGCTGCAAACACAAATTAAATGATTGCCCTCAGACTACCTCATGGCAAAGTTGAAATGCAAACAAATGTATCATACATTAAAATCAATGTGTTAATTTAGAAAGAAAGTTATGATACTTTACGTGTTCTTGGAGCAGTTGGCTAATATGCTGTTTATAAACGATCGTGGTTTCTGGTATATGCACTGGTGCCTGTAAATTGTCATTCCCTCTCACCAAGAGCATCAGCTTCTAAGAAGTCCCCTCCATGGACCTTCTCTTTCATGTTTAGTGAAAATGATGCCAAGATGTCTAAACCATGAATTATGTGTGTCTGCATACTATGATTATATATACCGGAGACGGATTAACATTACAATGGAGAGCAGATTTAATATAAAACCTATAAAGCAAATCACAGTGCTAGTCAAACTCCAAATACTGTGAAATTGTGAATATTGTATTTCGCTGAAATTACAACGAGGTATATGGAGGCTATCCCAATCTAAACTCCCGAAGGACATTGTCCTCAGGTTAGCAGAATGCCCCCAACTCCTCCTGAAAACATCTATTTCTGTGCTCCAAAATTGGAGAATAGCCAACGTTTGCTTCACGTAAGTATAAAGTTGTATTCTTGGATGAGGGTGAGGTATGTGGGAAGCTCAGTGAAAGTCACTTGTGCAACATGTGTGAGGCCCTGGACTCAAACCATAACAGGAACAACATAGGGCTGGCAAGTTTGCTCAGTAGGTAAAGTGATCACCACACAACCTGACAACCTGAGTTTGATCCCCGGAACCCCATATAAAGGTGGAAGAAGAGAAGTGACTCCCCAAAGTTATCCTCTGACCTCACATGCCTGCTGTGGCATTCACACCCCCTATGCACCCCCAATTACACACATACAATACTAAGGAAAATATAAAACAACAACATCGTCAACAGTAACAGCTCTCCTTGCCCCAAACAGAGCTAAAGCTGTGTTCTTCATCAGAGGTGTGTTGGATGGGAACCGCAGTGCAGAGTACCTGCTTAGCGTGCCCTCAAGACCCTGGCTTCAACCCTCGGTGCCACAAAACCAAAGCAATAACAAAATCAGAGTTCAAGTTGTGTTTTTTTCCGGAGTCCACAGCAGCAGCCTTTTATCTGTTTGAATGTAACCTATGTCTATGGTTCAGATAGCTGTTTGCATAACTGTTATAAGCAAGCAGAAAGAAAGTCTGTGTCTATCTTCAAGGGGTAAGCAGGGAGATAAACATGAACACAGGCCATGACAGAGGAAGGGGTTGGGAACCTGCTGGGAGAAGGACGTGGGAAAGCAACTCATCCAAGGTGGGAACGTAGAAGAGAGTTCATTAAAGAAAAAAGACTAATAATCTCATGGGACTGGTAGGAATCTCGTATGGGGACATCTACGTGAATTTGTGTTTTCAAGGATCTGGAAGTGAGGGGTCATGGAAGAGTGTTTGATGCCAAGAGATCTATAAGTACTGCAGTCACACGTCCTCATTTGTATAGTCCATTCTGCCTGCCAAATGAATTGGCATTCCAGCAGGCTCCAGTGGGTTTAATAATCATTACTTATAATAAAACGAATGTTGCTCTTGTGTTTATAACGTGCTCATCATCTGGATTCGTTTCCTTGGAGGTGGCATTTAATTAAAACTGCATTTCATCTTCTGTTTGTGTGAAGGCACTCATTGGGTGGCAGAGGTCGTTGAGAACATTCCCAGTGCTGGAATTACTCTCACGTCTCCTATTGAATTGGGAGACATTTCAAAATTTGAAGAGCTAAAAATGCATTCGAAGAGAAGAGTCATTCCAACGCATTTGAGCTACGACATGCTACCTGTGACCGTTAAACAAAAACAATGCAAGGTAAGGCCTGTGGTTAAAGGCAGAGCCTTGGAATTCCTGGATTCTTTTTTTAAAAATAGATTTGTTTTATTTTTATTTTACGTATATGTGTGAGTGCCTGCTGTTGTTATGTATTCTCTGTGCGTAATGCCCTCAGTGGTCAGAAGAGGGTCAGATCCCCTGGAACTGGAGTTATAGATGGTTTTTAGCAGCCGTGTGGCCACTGGGAACCGAACCCAGGTCCTCTCTAAGAGCAGCCGGTGCTCTTAATTGCCAAGCTATCTCTCCAGCCCTAAGGACTCTTGGATTCTTGTACTGTTAACAGAGCTTGAAGGTAGCAGAGCTGATACCATTTATATTGTAATATTTTATGTGTCATATTATTCAAGAGAGTACATAGGAAAAGCCACAAATTATAACATGAAATGCTGACGGACAGTTTCTCCAAGCCATTAAGCAGCTCACACATTATTATTTTAAAAGCAATTTGTAATTTCAAAAGAACATTTGCTATTTTTGCAACTTTCTTGTTCACATTTACATTTTCATGGAGGAATTTTTATATGGTGGAGGGAGCAGAAGCCATGGTTTTAGTTCCTACATAACGAATAATCTCAATTTGGTTGAAACATACTCAGAAGTACAGAAATACCAGGTGCAAAGTAGATCAAGAAGTGAAGTGATCCTTACATCAGCATTCAACTTAATCTTTCAGAAAAGTGTGTCTAAGGAACATTTTGATCAGAAAGAAAACACGAGAAGAGTAATGTTTGGAAATCAGAGACGAGACACTCACGTCAGCTCCCAGAACTGAAGCCCCTTCAAACCATGTCAGTCACATCCTCAACATAAAAACAAAAGCAACATGCCAGTCAGATGTGGAAACACCAGGGCAGATCCTCCTCTGTGGCCGTTCTGTGACCCATCCCTCCCTGTCTACACAGAAAGCAAACACAATCAGCCAGGGGAGAATGTCAGAGTTTTCCTTCATCTGCATCAAGTCTATGAGAACAGTAGCTTAACTCAATTACACTTTTGCTCAGCCATGCATTTTCCTTTCAGACTGGTTCTAGGACAGAGAAGGAGGGAGACAGATACCAAAGGAGAAAGCCTTTTCAAACATTTTCTTTTCTTTTTAAATCAAAATGGGGGAGGGATGGAGAGAGGTATAGATGCAAAAATGGATACAGAGAGAGAAAGAGAGAGGGACAGAAAGACAGAGAGAGACAGAGATGAAATACATTAACTCCAATGAATTCAATGGGATCCCCAGTGGATGTCTACCAGCCATGAGGCTGTGTGTTTGTTCCACACACACTGACAAGTGTGGGTTATAAGCCTTTTAGGAGCCAAGAGCAGGAAGCGCAGACAGGCTTCTTAAACCACCACACTGGAGCAGCAGCCTTAAGGGTTAGCCTTCTCCAAGTGACCCTTATTAGGAGCTGACATGCTTCAGTTCCCTCCGTCTCCAGAAAATGGTGATGTATTAAATATGATTCCGCAAATACTCACTTATCTAAGTAAATTTCATCTCCCCTGATTGTCCATCAGAACATAAGTACAGCATCTTGTTCTCATTAACTGCCAATGACTGAAAATATCGACCCTCCAGGGTTGTGATTGATGATTTAGCTCCTGAGCACCTGAGAATCGGTCAAGCCTTCCTTGACCTTGCAGGGCTGGCCAGATGGAAAGTTCTATAAACTTTCCCTACAACCTCTCAGTTCTGCTTGGATCTGTATTTTCTTTAATTCTTTCTTTCCCTCCCTTTTTATGATTATAAACTCCCTGGCATTAATTTTATATTTTGTAACTCATTTGGTGATGTTTTATTTAATATCTGTCTCTCCATCTCCCAAGGTATCTGCCTTTGTTTTATAGTTCCTAACGTCCTCTAATAATTCTTCTGAGATTTCTTAGACTGCTACAGCATATGTGCCAATGAATTGCATGGTCTTTCTAAGTAGATAACACAGTCATATACCTTTAGGGGTCTCTAAAGTCTCACTTCTCTATCAAAACAAGTATGTCCAACTGAATGGTTAGGGCTTAAGTTTTTGCTGTTTTGTCCCTTTTCCTTCACACAATGGAGTTCTAGAAGTGAGTTCTCCAAGCCTTGGGTCTCTGAGATTCTGGTTTGGAAGTCAGGCACAGTAAGAAAGTGTGTGAAGGTGCGCCGTAGTTACTGTATAGGACAGAGAGGATCCTGGGTGGGGTGGGGTAAAGGTGGTTCTTCGTTCTTGAACATAGTGACCTTTAAACTCCTCTCAGTTAAATAGCAGGAGCTATTCATGTGGACCCACACTATATGTGGACTATGAACATGATACAGAAAGATAGTTATGTATTAAAAGTGACTCAGAAAATTCTTTCTTATCTAAGTAAATGGTGTCTGCCCCGATTGTCAATTACAAACACAAGTAGCATATCTTGTTCTCCACTCAATGATGAAAATGATAAAAACTATTATCTAGCATCTCACATTGGTTTCTGGAGGCTGCTTGTGCATGCCTCTGACAACTCCTACAGCAATGTCAAGAACCTGTTTAATCTTCCGCCTCCCTCACCTGTCTGTAAACTGCGAGGGGTGGGGATGCATTTCTGTCTTGCTCAGCCTTGTATTCCTTAGACTGGGAACATTGCACATTGCCAAGCATATAATACATACTAACTAAATGCTTATAGAGTTGAATTACAGTTTCAGGATTCCTGGAAATTAATCTTAGATTTCCTACTTCTCAATGGCCAGAAAGGGAAATTCCAAACTAGTTCTTCCTATTAAAAAATGAATAGAAAATTGTGAAAAATCTTGATGCATGCAAATGGTTTATAACCTGTAGATAACTAAGAAGTGATTTTTGTCTCACAAATGAATAGGGACTTTCCATGACCACCTCTAAAAGACAGGACAAAATTTAACAAATAAGTTCAGAAAGATGTTCACTGGATTATCCGCAGGAACATCAACTAGAGAACTGGTCAAAAATGCAGAAAGCCAGGCTTCTCCTTGGACCTCTGGAACTGACGTCTGCATTTTAATGTTCTACTCAGAGATTCAGATGCATGCTGAGGCTTGAGAGACAGGAGCCCAAGACTGTGTTTAAACACCAGCTAATGCTCTTTTTTTTTTTTAAAGGGCAGAATATGCACAGGGGAGTTTTGCTATTATTTTATTTTAGAATTTGATTTTTTTGTTTTGCAGCTATTTCTGCCCTAGAATGAACTGGTTCTCTTTTCCTAACAGATTATCTATATTGTCAGAAATCCGAAAGATACAGCCGTCTCTCTCTTCTACTACTACAAAGACAACCCCAATCTTCCCTCCATTGAAACATGGGCTGCGTTTTTAGAGCTATTTCTCAAAGGAGATGGTAACTATACCAATTGTTTCTTCTTATTTAAAATTTTAATTTATTTTGGTGTGTGCGTATTGCATATACACATGTATGTATGTGGGTGGATGAACATGCGCACAGAGGCCTGAAGAGGATGTCAGGTGACCTACCCCATCCCTCCCCACCTTATTCCAGTGAGCCAGGGTCTCTCACTGAATTTGGACCTAGGCTGCTGGCCAGGAAACTTCAGAGATGCATCAGAGCTGAGGTTACAGACGATTACTCAACCCTACTTCTGCTTCTATTTTTTTTTTTTTCCCACCTGGTGCCGGTGATTTGAGTGCAGATCCGAATACTTGTAGGGTAAGTGTTCCTACACACTGAGCCATTTCCCAAACCCCAACAATCACTTTTAAATTTTATTTTATGTGTATGAGTGTATTGCCTGCATGTGTGTAAGTGCACCTGTGTCATGCAATGCCCACGGAGGTCAGAAGGTGCTGGATCCCCTGGAACTGGAGTTAGAACTGTTGTTAGCCTTCATGTGGGTGCTGGGGATCAAACCCAGCTCCTCTGCAAGAGCAGCTAGTGCTCTTAACTGCTAAGCTATCTCCCTAGACCACCCCCCAACAATTGTTTTTAATATTCACAACATATATTAGAATTTTTCACTCAAAATGGAAGCACACTCCAACGACTTTGATGGATTGGAGCTGCTTGTTTCCAGATATGCATTGAAGAGAGGATGCTTCGATTTCTTCTAGGCAGATTCTTAATTACTCCTTCACCGTCTTTTTTTTTTTTAATCATGGACAGCGAGGAGCATATTAGTGATTATTTATTGAGCTAGTTCTAATATTTTCAACTTGAAATGAATTCTTCATAGGCGCCTTTTGATTTTCATGCATTGCCTGTCTTCCATGACATAACCAAGCACTGGCTGGAAGACAGGTGGCTTGGGGGAATGACACGAAAAAAGAGACACATATGCACATACAAAGTCCCACAAAGAAACCCATAAGCCAACTGTAAGAGAACTGATTTCACGAAACAAACAGAAAGTACTTTGTCCTGTGAACACCTGGAAAGTTAGCTTGACCCAGCTTCTCAGGACACGTTGCTCATGCTGCTGTGGACCACCTTTGAATTTATTCCTCTCCCCCTGACTCAGTGGTGTTAGGAGCACTTTAAAAGAGTCTTCTGAATACCTAAACACATATTAAACAAAAATAATATTCCAGGACAATGCAGAATTTAGGAGACATAAATTTAAAATGGTGAAGGTTGAGAGAACCCATCTCTGCCTATGTTTATAGTCGGTCTTTTGTTGTTGTTGTGTCTTTCGGTTGTACATTTAATGAATAGATTTTACTTAAAAGAATAAATTTTAAGAAATTGACAGCCTTCCAAAAATCTGGGATATATAAATTTCTGCTTTTTTATGTTACTAACCTAGGTTGAAAATTTTATTTACTTGTCAATTTGGGGGGGTGGTGTTTAAATATATTATTTGAGACTTTCATGCGTGTAAAGAACCTGCTTAGATAAAATCTATCCCCAACTCCTCCCATTACCCCACCACCACTTTCCCTCCCAATATGATGTGCCCCTTTTTAAAAAACCCAGTGAGCCCTACACCCATGTATGTACAATGTACATGTAGACAGCACCAAGCAGACTCAGTAAACCTTCTTAGTGGTTAATTTCATTATTTGCTGGGATTATTCAACTTTTTGATGGAAGATTGTTCAACCACAGCAGGTGCAGCCTGAACTATGAGAGCAGCTGTAACTCACCAGCAGTAGGCACAAACAAGCACACCCAGGCTCACACCACCGCAACTCATCTTTCTGATAGACTTAACTCCTTAACGAGTCACACTCTTAGAAGAATCATAATGTTTCAGAAATGACAGGTACTGATGTTTAAATCACTCAACAACCCCAAGAGTTGTGTAGGCTGATCTTGAACATCCTCTCCTTGACAATAAGTTCACTAGCCTCATACAGAAACATATTCCACAGTGGAACTTCTAAGACTGTTTTCATTCTTACTATTAACTGTGTGCTTACCATGTGATACAGGCACTTAGCTAAGTGCTGGGTAAACATTATCTTGTGTCATCCTCACCAGAACCTCATGTGGTAGGTGTTATTATCTACATTTTACAGCCCAAGGAAACGCCAACTTTGGGAGGTCAAATAACTCGTGCACAGATGTCCAATATAAAGTAGAGCCAAGATTTAATTGTAGCTGTTGGTTTCACAGTCTTTGCCACAGTGCCACGATTTGCCCAGTATTAAAAGACTTAATTAATTAATTAATTAATTCTCCTTGCACATGATCAGACTTTAAATATTTAACAATGGTTAGCATGCCTCACTCCAACTCCATTCTATTTTGGGAATACACAGAGTCTAAATACACAGATTATTATTTTTTTCAGAACAGGCCTTGAGTCTGCTTTTCCTCAAGACAAGAAATGCCGTGCTCGCTTCCCATTTTTGTACACCATGGCTCCCTCTCCCCTCTGCAGCCTGAGCTCTGACTTGGCCCTGTCTTTATTAAGACCCAGCAGCCAGAGGGGGTGCACCCCCAGGTGAGATCTGAGGAGGCAGGGTAGCACGGGTACAATGCTCTACCTGTTCTATAGGTTAATTTTCTTTGAACACAGCCACAAAGATGCCAGGCCAGGCTGGAACTCAGGAAGGCAACTATCTGGAAGGAGGGGAAGAGAATGGTTGGAAAAATAGCCCAGGTA